TAAAATTCATGATAAATTTAAGACATTTATGATTAATTATAAACTCTCAACCATAACTCATAATTAAATAATTAAATACATATAATATTTAAATTAAGTTCTTAGAATAAAAAGAATTAATCATCCCATTATATAATAATATTTTATTATTTTATTTTATTTTATTACTATTATTATTACTGTATTTTTTGGCAAATAAAAGTGCAGAAATGCAACGCTTCAGAATCAGTGCGGCTGCGGCGTGAGTAAGGTGTTTGTCCAAAAAGGACAATCACACGACACCGTTTTTCATGTCAATTTAAGTGGGACCAGGTGTCTAGCCTTTCCGGCGCCTGAAAATGACGGACAGCCAATAGACCGGCGACATTAAGCCACCGGAGTCAACGACGTAGTTTCGAAGAAAACCACGCGTAACCTCCTGATTGGCCCATCAAGAAACCCTCCATCCCGTGCTACCTGCTGCAACCTAATCCTCTGCACACCGTAAATTGCCCCACCTAAAGGTCGTTCTCTGTTCAAGACCGCCTATTTATCCCCGTTGGATTTTGGTGATGGGAACCATATCTTGTGTTACTCCGACGAGACTTCATTGCTGTACTACTAAGAATAAGAATCCTGTTGGGAATTTCTCAAAATTTGCCAAGAACTCGATTTTCAAGATACCCATTTTCAAGAACTTCAATTTTACGTTCTCGTCATCATCAATGGCTACTTCTTCCCTTCAAGTCTCAGCCTTTTCAACCATTGGTCTGTGTCTCCGTTTGACTGTTGTCTTTTGTCCTTTACGTTTTATTTTAAAATTGGGTGTTTTTAACATCTGGGTTGGTGAAGGTGCGAGGAACGAGGAAGGGGAAGCTACGGCGTCATCTGGGGTCGTGGGGGAGAACGATTTGCTGATTGTGGGACCAGGTGTTCTTGGTCGTTTAGTCGCTGAGAAATGGAGGGAGGTAAGCTGCTTGATTGTCATGTCTGTTGGGACTAATTCAAATTGTTTGTTCATGCTATCAATTTGGATTAGAATTTGATAGTCTTTTGATGAAAAAAAAAAATGCAGCTTTGGGTATCAAGAGATTGAAATTAAATGGAAACGGTTCAAAAAACCAGTTTCAGCTCCACCAAATCCTTTGTTTTTCTCTAATCATGCATGTGGATGTTCTTGTATGTGAATATGTTCTAGGAGATAGGAGTTCATTTTTAAAATGTATATAAATTGTGGGCAGGAACATCCAGGATGTCAAATTTATGGGCAGACTGTGACAACGGATCACCACGATGAGTTGATCAAAATGGGTATTAATCCATCTTTAAAGGGGAGTAAAGCTCAACAATTTCCATATGTGATCTTTTGTGCACCTCCATCGCAGACCTCAGATTACCCTGGTGATGTTAGGTGATTGTTAGAATCTTAGGTAGTTGCTTGTTACAGTTGCATCATATTTTATGTATGGTAGGTTTGTTTATGAAAAATATTTTGTAGGTCCATGAGAACAACTAGAATTATTAATGTATACAGTAGCTGGCTGGTCAAATTTTCTTGTGTATATTTTATGAATAATGCTATCATTCTGGACTTTGAACCATCCAGGATGGCTGCACTGAGCTGGAATGGTGAAGGAGCTTTCTTGTTCACATCAAGCTCAGCACCATATGATTGTAGTGACAATGGACCATGTGATGAGGTGTTACATCTAACATAAGTCATTTTCCTTTGTAAATCAATAGGTTAATATTGCAATGTCAATTTAAATTCTAATTCTTGCCATCAAATTAATGTATTTGTTTTTGCTTTCTGGCCTTGTATAGATTTATGATCTTTTTGAACTTGTTAATTTATAATGTCACAAAGATTTCATGTTTCTCTATACAGGACACTCCAGTTGTGCCAATTGGTAGGAGCCCTAGAACGGATGTCCTTCTTAAGGCTGAACAAGTGGTGCTGGAGTTTGGTGGCTGTGTTGTTAGATTGGCAGGACTTTACATATCCTTTCCGAAACGTAAGTTTCTATGATAAATGTGTACAATTGTACATGGTAGAGAAAAGGGGAAAAAAAAAAGGACTGTCTGGTGTTTATTTATATTGCAATCTCAATAACCTTAACTTTCTACACAAAGAAGATAGGGGTGCTCATACTTATTGGTTAGAGAAGGGGACTTTAAATGTTCGGCCTGATCACATTCTGAATCTTATACACTATGAGGTGAACACTTTGTTCTTTGGTATTAGTTTACATTAAAAAAAAAATGCTAGTAGTGCATGTTCTTTCCATCTCTTTACTGCACTACCCTGAGGCCAATTCAGAAACCATTTAATTTTATTTCTTTGTTGCTTTTCACTTTTAGCTTTCATCTGCTTCTTGTTCTTATACAGATACATTTATGAGGTTTGTGTGATTTAGACACTTCATGGCATTGATTTCTACTTGTCTACTTGGTAATAGGATGCAGCATCCATATCAGTTACTATTTTGAAGAAGAAGCTGCGTGGGCAGATTTTCTTGGGTTGTGACAACCACCCTTTGTCAAGGTTATCATCTTTAACCTGGGGATAAATAATGATTCACATATCCAGATCTTTTCTTGCTATACTAACAACATTTTAATTTTGGACACTGCTAATTGCACTTCCACAACATTTTTCTCGTGTTCATATCCACACATCAATACATCTTGGTGCATTAAGAACCTAAAAAATCAAATTCATTCTGAGACCAGATCCAAGCAAGTGACCAAAGGAATGGGACTGGGAAATTAGATGGGGAAATGCAATAATTGTTATCCTTCAACCTTTTAGGGCATCCTTGGTTTTCAATATAAGCTGTCTTGATGCCAGCTCGTGGATAGATGTATATACCAAACTAAAAGTCAGTGATTCCTCTAACCATGTTAAGTTCCTCCACAGGCAGGAAATAATGGACTTGGTTGACAAAAGTGGGAAGTTCAACAAAAAGTTTGGTGCATTTACAGGTCAGCTGCTCACTTAGACCTAGTAAAGAAGTATACCATTGGTTAGCAATCAATGTTTATTAAGTTTGAATTATCCCATTTTTATTATTTTCATCCTCTTTTCTTTTCCATCCCCTTTAGTCTGTTCTCATCATTATTATTGTTTATTTTGTTGTTTTAGGTTTGGTTCTTGGGTATCCTAAGCTTCCATTCACTTGTACGTGTTATATTTGCAGGCACAGATGGTCCTTTAGGAAAGAAATTAAACAACTCGAAAACTCGAAAAGAACTTGGATGGGAGCCAAAATATCCAAGCTTTGCTCACTTCCTTGGAGTTTCCAAGTAACTCTTTCCTCTATATACTTGATTGAATGAAATGATGGTGGAAGAAGCTGGATTTAGGTGGAAAAGAGAATTTGACTTGATGGAGCTGCTAGCTTTTTCACCAGTTGCGGTAAATAATTTTTCATACACGATGTTCTAAAGCAAAGAAGGGTGATTAAAACCCAAAGAATTTACATTGGAATAATTTAAGTCAGTTCATTGAATTTTTTCATCAAGGACTCGTTCGTTTGCAACCTTGAAGATGCATTTTTTCTGGAAAATTTGGCTTTGTTGAGTATCCTTGAATGTGTGTATAATTTTTTTGAGAATACCTTTTTTATTTTCCTAAATTTCTCCCCATCTATTACAAGGTTTAAACACTAGATTTTTAATGTAAAGTCTCATACCCAAACCATTGGCATGTTGGCATATCAAAAAGGAATGAACTTTATGTATTTACGATAATCAGGAATGAAACATTGTTAAAATTATACACATGCCGACTTAGAATAACTTGATATAACTAACGATTTAAATAATTCAATGGTCATCTTTTTTAGTTGAAAATAAAGGATCTTAAGTTTAAGTTGTATAACATGTGTGTGGGGTGTGGGGTGGGTGGATGAGTGGGGTGAGATAAGGGATGGAAATAGTTACCTCTCTCATTATACAATCAATATATATATTAAAAAAAAAACTTGATATAATATAAGAATAAAGACATAGTCTTATTAAGTGAGGTAATACAAATTAAACATGAATTTTTTATGAGATGACAAAAAATAAGATATTTTAATAATTAAAATATTTAAAAAATAAATTAAATAAATTAATACATAATAAATATTCATAATAAATATTTAAACAATTTTTGTATAGAATCCATACGCCGTTAAATGCCAGAACGTCCTAAGTTTTTTTCCTTTCAATTGTGTAATGAAAACCAAGATTTGCCAGTTGCGTTTTTTTTAAAGAGGGATTTACAGCCTCAAGAAACGACTAATAATGTAATCAAATCTGTTAGCGAACTGTGCTCTAAGAAACTGAATCCTCTGTAAAAAAAAAAATAATAATAATAATTAATAACTGAGAGTCAACTAAATGTCAGACCTCGAGATCCCAGTTCCATGTCCTTCTATTTTATACTTCCTCAATCTAACAACAGAAGACCAGAGGAAGGCTCGAGACAGCAGTGTTGAGCAAATGGGGAAGTTCTGTTGTGGAGAATCTGATGATGGGGGTTTAGATCTCACCGGAGTTGTCATGGCAATAATCATAGCTCTAGCTATTATGGCTGTCTGCATGCCACCATCACGACAGCCGACTCTTTATGCAGTGTATCGCTGCCGCTCTTGCTGTGGCTCTCCTTGCAGATGCTGAAACTTTGCTTTGAGATGCCATTTGCATTCTGTCTCCTCAGTTTCTTCTTCTGCAGGAAATAAAAACATCTGTAAGTGTTTGGTATGCATTACGTAGAATAGAGTATTTCTTATTCCATGTAATTTCTTAACAGAATAATTGTTTTGCAATCCATCTGGACGGACCATATTTCACTTTTTGGATTCTTAATATTGCCTTATGTATTGTTCTTCCATGAAATGGATCTTTTTCCGACTACACCCTGCATCTTTTTTTTTTGGAGGGGGGGGGGTCAATTTTGTTTCAAAATGCAATTGAAATTAACTCTTAAGTAAAGAAAACTTGGGATTTAATGCCTGCCAAAATTCCGGAATCCAGTGTCACTATTTTAGGAATTTTCTTGGTTCCATAGTCAAGCAAGAGACATTGTACTTAAACAAGACGACCTCCTTCTGCTGAGTGATTCCCATATGAAACCCAAGTCATCCTCCTGCCAAAACCGAGAGCTATTACCCGTGTGCGGAGGGACAAGGTAACTTAAAACCCCACAAACATAATCAAATCAATTCAATACATTTTGAAAATAGAAACGTGATGTGCACTTTAACCAATGATGAAAGATGGGTCCATCGATAATGGGTGTTCTTTTTTTTTTTCATTGACTTTACATTTATAATAGGGTTTTTTATTTTTACAACATTTATAATATGTTATATAATAAGAGATAACTTTTTCATTTTTTTAAATTCTTTTTCACAATTTAAAATTTGAATTTGAGATTTTTCACTTAAAATTTTAGTATTTTAACAAGTTAATCACCTTTTTAAAGATTGATAATGAGATAATTTTTCTTCATCAATGATTATAAAATATATAATTTAAGTAGAACAAATTACAAAACTACTATCTCTTTTGAAATATCCATAAAGAAAAATACTTTTCTTTTCTCTTTTTTTTTTTTTTTATCAATCCCAAGTATAAAAAATACTAAGATCAACAATCTTATTAAGGGAAATAGTTGGAGTCTTGGACCTCAAGGGAAGAAGCAATATGGCTATATCATCAAGTATAAATGCTCTAATTG